AACTTCACATCGGGACCCATGGCCTAGAATGGAACGAACAGGGTGAGAGACTGTCTGAGTTCATCATGTCAACCAAGACCATTCATGGTAACTCACAGTTCCAGAAGGCAGAATCTAAACGATGGACATGGGAGTCTCCCGGTGGACGATTCCACAACGAAATAGACCACATCATATTCAATCGACGGTTTTGCCTGACTGATGTCGCTGTTGTCCCAAAATTTCGAACGGGATCAGACCACCGTCTCCTTCGTGCAAAATTCAACTTCACAGGGAGAAAGGGCTGCAAAGTTCAAAAAGAGAACTCTCAGAATGACCACCAACTGGGAACTCTTTGGTACTATTGCGGCAACATGGGAAGATGCCATTGTTGACAACATTGGCGAGGAATACGATCGACTGGTTCAGCACCTCCATGAATGTGCGAGGAACGCCAAGGGAGAGATAGCCACAAAAAATCGCCTATCTTCGAAAACTCTTGAGCTAATTCGCCAGCATGGTTTGGCGCATGCCTCAGGCAACCGCAAGCTAACGTCCGAGCTCGCAAAGCAGTGCAGAGATGTGATCAAGGAAGACCTCAAAGAGAGAAGAGCAGAAGTACTGGTAGATGCGGCAGAAGCCGGGAAAAGTATTCGTAACACCCGCCTGTCCTTCGCCAACTACAAGACCAAGATGACTGCCCTCCGACGTCCTGATGGATCCATCACATCCTCCAGAACAGCAATGGAGAAGATTATCCATGACTTCTACTCAAATCTCTTTGATAGCCATGTCCACTTGCCGACATACCAAATTCCACAGGATGGATATGTCGTTCCCAACGTTCTTCCTTCCGAAATCTGACACACCATTTCATGGGTAAAGAAACAAACAGCACCCGGCCCAGACAAGGTCAGACCTGAACACCTGAAGAACCTGCCGTCAGTACTCATCAATACACTGGCTCGGCTCTTCACTCGCTACCTGTCTGAATGCAAGGTTCCGTCCCAATGGAAAACCAGCAGGACCGTACTACTGTTCAAGAAGGGAGACATCCATGACATTGGCAACTATCGCCCGATCTGCCTATTGTCTGTCATCTACAAGTTGTTCACTCGAGTCATCCTAAATAGGATTGGCAGAACACTAAATGAAGGACAACCATGAGAGCAAGCAGGGTTCCGCAAAGGATTCAGCACCATCGACCATATCCACACGATAACCAAGCTCATTGAGGTTTCTCGGGAGTTCAAGATGCCGCTCTGTTTAACGTTCATTGATTTAAAGAAGGCCTTTGATTCTGTTGAGACGGAAGCGGTCATTGAAGCCCTAGCCAATCAGGGCATTCAAGCCCAATACATCAGGATCCTCCGTGAGCTGTATTGCGGATTCACTACCAGGATCTCACCATTCTACAAAGAAGTGATCGTTGATATCAAGAGAGGGGTGCGGCAGGGTGATACCATTTCACCGAAACTCTTCAGTGCCACCCTCGAGAACATCATGCGACGACTGGAATGGGAAGGAATGGGAGTGAAGATAGATGGTCGGCAACTACACCACCTCCGCTTTGCTGATGACATTGTTTTAATAACACCAAACATCAGCCAAGCGGCACAAATGCTGGCCGACTTTGACCGTGAGTGTGGAAAGGTAGGACTACAGCTGAATCTTACGAAGACAATGTTTATGAGAAACAGCCTTGTTCCTGACGCCCCATTCGCTCTCAATGGAACGACCATCTCCGAATGCAACAGCTATGTGTACCTAGGTCGAGAGGTCAACATGACAAATGACCTGCCACCCGAGCTGCGCAGGAGGAAGAGAGCGGCTTGGAACGCCTTCAAGAACGTCGAAGACATAGCTAAGAGGATGAAGAACCTCCAGCTCCGGGCACATCTCTTTGATTCCACTGTTCTTCCTGCATTAACATATGCCTCAGAGACCTGGGCCCTACGCAAACAAGATGAGAACGCTATTCAGGTCTCCCAAAGAAGAATAGAAAGAGCTATGCTTGGAATATCACGTTTCACTCAAATGAGAGAAAGAATCCAGAGTTCTGACATCCGTCGACGATCAAGAATCAGGGACGCTGTCTCATTTGCCAAGGTGTCGAAAATCAGATGGGCTGGTCACGTAATGAGATTTAAAGACGACCACTGGACTAGAGCTGTTACCGACTGGATTCCACGGGATGTCAAAAGACCGCGTGGCCGCCCACCTTCCAGATGGTCAGACTTCTTCGTCAAGATCATGAACGATCGGTATGAGGCCCTTCATGTTCCCGGAGCGAACAGATGCCATTGGGCTACACTAGCATGCGACAGGGACAAATGGAGACGTTACTGGCGCCTGCTCGAGCAAATCGACGACTAACGGGAAGTCAAGTGATCAAGTGATCAAGTGACAGACACACACAGACACAGACACACACAGACACAACACATAGACATACAGACACACGCAGACACACAGACACAAACACAGAGACAGACACACAGACACACAGACACACAGACACACAGACACAGACACACACACACACACACACACACACACACACGGCAGAGGTTGGGTGTAAGCATCGGAAAACCCGGGCATGCCCAGGGCTGCCACCGTCTCCCACCCTCCACATTTCCGGGAGCGGCCCCACGCACTCCGTGGCTGTCCAGGGGCCCATCTGGGTTGCCGTCAGCCCCCTCCTTGGCAGACATCGGTCGCCAACACAGCCACTCCTAGAGAGGAGTGTGAGGTAGAGCGGAGGGTCCCCCGCTGGCAGCGAGGGTGAGTCACAGTCTCCCGAAAGCCTGCTCTCTGCCCCGGCCCGGCCACTGTCCTTGAGGTCCCACAGAGCGTCTCTCCCCGAGGGAGAGCCTCCCCCCAGCTGAGCCTCCCCCCAGGTTCCCCTTTTGCCCCCTGGGAGGGGCGACAGCTCGCGGGAAGGCAGCACCCGCTCCCGCTCCCGTGGCCCCTAATCTCCCTCCAGCCACTGAAACAAAAGCGAGAGCATGTGGCAACCTGCTTCTCTCTCAGGATCCAGCCTCTGCTCGGAACAAGTCCCCCACCCCCACCCCACCTCCCGCTCCATGCCCCCAGGGGAAGTGTGGGGTGACTTTTTTGTTTGTTCACTGCCAGGGATCGAACCCAAGTTGGCTGCGTGCGAAGCAAGTGCCTTATCCTCTGGACTATCGCTCTAGTCCATGGCGCGACTCTCCACGGGCACCGTGCGCTGCTGCGACTCGTTTATGAGTCAGGCGAGATTTAGGAAATGTCCACAAAGCGCCAGGCGGGGAGCACGGAAGCAGAGGGGAGAGTTGAGCTAGAAGAGGAGGCGCCACTTTCCCCACAGCGCGAGCCCTGAGGGTGGCTCACAGGACAGAAACAGACTCTCGCGGTCCAGGGGGCTGTGAGCCCTCAGGAAAATGCTATCAGGGGTGGATTCTTCTGGAAGATGCTGAGAAGTCTCAGGGCTGCCTCTCGGGGTTGCTGGCCATGCTTAGGGGGGTCCTGGCTAGTAGAGCCTTTGCCTCCAACTCCGCCTCCATCTTCAACGGCCTCTTCTCCTCTCTGAGGACACTGGTTATGGATTTGGGAGTCCCCCACTAAATCGAGTGGTGGTGGTGGGAGGGGGGGGGCATTCATATCTATGGCTGAGTACACCAGCACAGGCCCTATTTGCAAAGAAGGTCACATTCTGTGAGGTCCCAAAGAACATGATTGGGGGCTCTGAGTTTCCAGATGAACATGAATTGAGGGAATCTGAGGTCCCAGACAAACATGTATTGGTTCCAGACAAACATGAACTGGTGTGTGTGTGGGGGGGGGGGCGGGGGGGGGGGTTGAAGTCTCAGATGAACATGGGTTGGTTGACGTGAGGTCAGATGATTAAACAATCCCCCATGATAAAGCCAAAGGGGCTGCCAGCGTCATCCAAGGTCTCGAGACAGTTGTGATGTCTAGATGTAGCCCCACCCAGCACGGCCGGGAGCTGAGCCCACAGGCCCATGAAGAGAACCCCCGGGTCTGGAAGCTCTGATACAACCTCCTCCCCACCCCCCATCCTCTTTTCTATAGCCAAACAAGCATCAGCAGTTCAGTCCCTTCCAACTCACACACCTTCAACTTCGGGGGCAGGGGGCCTTTTGGAGTTAAGTGCTTCCAGGGACCCTGACCCCCAGGTGCCCACTGAGGGTCCCTGTGCCTCGGGGAGCATTTTGCTCACTCATAGAGGCTTTCTTTCTTTTTTGCTTTTTGGGTCACATTCGGCGATGCCCAGGGCTTACTCCTGGCTCTGCACTCAGGAATTACTCCTGGCGGTGCTCAGGGGACCAGATGGGATGCTGAAAATCAAACCCAGGTCGACTGCGTGCAAGGCAGAACACCCTACCTGCTTGTGCTATCGCTCCAGCCCCTCACAGAGGCTTTCAACAGACACTGCCCTGGACATTCCCCACCCCCCACACACATCTCACCCCCTACGCCCCACCCCAAGCTTCCACCCACTACTCTCTGAGTATCCAAAGCTCCCAGCTGCAAGCTGTCCTGTGTCACCCACTTCATCCCCGGGCCCGTCTCTTCCAGGCCACAGACCTCTGAGCATAGCATAAGGATGCCCATTTCTCTTGGGGGAGGGGGGGCTGGGCCTGGGGCCGCACCTGACAGTGTTCAGTTCTTACTCCTGACTCTGAGCTCAGGGATCAAACCCGGGTCACCTGCAGGCAAGGCAAGCATCCGGCCTCCCCCCAGTATTCTCTCTCCAGCCTCGGAAGAAGGATTTTCCTGGCAAAGCCTTTGGTCCTCCCCGCTCCTGCCACACGCACAGGAAGTGTGACAGACAGGATGGGGCGTGCAGAGATGGGAGGTGACCGCAGGAGTCTGTGTTGGTATCACATGACAACGTTCCCAGCTGACAGTGAGGCTGAACAAGTGAACCCACGTTTCTGCCCGGGCCGCTCCCCCCGCAGGAGAATCAGGGCGGAGAGTCCCCAAGGTGTCAGCTGCCTGCCCGCTCTCAGACTCACCTCATCCCTTCTGTGGCCAAGCGGTCCAGGTGTGCCGTGGCCCCGGTCTCGGCCCCGTAGGCTCCCAGGTCCCCCCACCCTAGGTCATCAGCTAAGATGATCACGAAATTCGGGGCTGGTCTTGTTGTGTTTTCCGGGAAGCAAAAATCCACCAGGGGATAAAGACACCCCAAGAAAGTGCCCCCCAACAACACAATCTTGAGAGTAAGCCAGGCCATGACGGGAAAGGGTGGGTCCTTGCTGCCGTCTTGCAGCGAGCAGAGCACAGCTGGAGCGCGGCCAGCTGCCGCCCTTGGAAGCCAGACGTCTGGCAGGCAGCAGCGGGGACCCAGGTGCAGGTGGCAGCTACTGGGGTGGTGGCAGGCTCCGTGAACAAGCCTCCGCCATCTAGGATCCCAACGTCAGAGCCTCAGGAAGCTGGTGGGCCGGCGTCTCTCTTCCTCCCACTGCGGTTCTGTAGGGAGGCGGGCAGCGGCCACACTCAATGTCCACAGCAGCAAATCAGAGGGCGCCTCCGTGTTCAGGTCAAAGTGCCCAGAGTCTCACATCTGCAGCACACCTGGCCGACCATGCCAGAAGCCCCAGCTGCCCCGTACCGGGTCTCCGAGCCCCGATGGTAGCGGCTTCCTAAAATATAAACAAGACAAGGGGACGGTTAGAACTGCCAGGAGGAGCCGGAGAGATTGCTGGCCTCGCATGTGGCCGGCCCGGATTCGATTCCTGGCCTCCCATATGGAACTCTGAGTCCTGCCAGGCGCGATCCCTGAGTATCGGGACAGGTGTAAGCCCTGAGCCCTGCCAGGTATGACCAAAGTAATTTTTTATTAATTAAAAAAAAATAGGGGCTGGAGCGATAGCACAGCAGGTAGGGCGTTTGCCTTACACACAGCCAACATGGCTGACCTGAGTTCAATTCCTCCGCCCCTCTCGGAGAGCCTGGCAAGCTACTGAGAGTATCTCGCCTGCAAGGCAAAGCCTGGCAGGCTACCCGTGACGTATTCGATATGCCAAACACAGTAACAAGTCTCACGATGGAGACGTTACTGGGCCTGCTCAAGAAAATCGATGAACAACGGGAGGACCGTCACCGGACCGTGACTGAATTTAAAAAAAAACAAAAACGGGCTAGAGCGATAGCACAGCGGGTAGGATGTTTGCCTTGCATGCGGCCGACCTGGGTTCGGTTCCCAGCATCCCATGTGGTCCCCTGAGCACCACCAGGAGTAATTTCTGAGTGCATGAACCAGGAGTAACCCCTGTGCATTGCCGGGTGTGACCCAAAAAGCAAAAAAAAAAAAAAAAAAAAAAAACCTCTGCCAGGACGGTGTTTTCTTGGGGAGCTGAGGAAATAATGCTGCCAATGGTGTTCCAGACCCTCATGGATGGTGGGGTTCTTCAGCTCTTTACCCAAGCTGTGGTGGGGGGAATATCAGCTCTGTGAAAGTTCTAATGCCAACCCCAGGGCTTGGCCCCCCGACCCAGGTCCTCACTCTCTGCCTGGATGAGCGTGCTCAGACCTTGTGCTCTGGAGGGTATGAAGACCTGCAGCCACCATTGAAGCCTCTCACTCCCCACGCCCCAATGGCTGTCTCAGACGCATGAATGAGAAGCACCCCATCCATGGCCATCCACCCCCGCCCCCCCGGGATAGCTGGGGGAGAGAAGACGGGATCCTTCATGCCAAGGCATGGCTCACACAGTTCATGCTGCAAACTGGCGTTTCGCTACAGAAATCTTGGTAGTGATTAATCTGGAGGGGGAGGGATAGTCAAATCATAGTAGAGTTTAACTCCAGGCCCCAAGGGATAGGGGATGGGCCGGTTCCTCTCATCCTCCTGTCCCCATGGGACCCTGGAGGTCACACCCACAAACTGCTTCTGGCTGCTACTTAAGCTCCTTAATGGCCATGATCCAGAGACACACAAAAGAGTCTCCCATGGAGCAGAGCGCTGCAGAGATTTCTCCAGACCCCAATTATGTAAAAAATTTTAGAATTCCAGTAGCACAAGGCCATGAGAGCTGCCGTGCGGCATCTTATGCTATTCAGAACAAGCAATACAAAAGAGAGTATGAAGGAGATCGGCTGCCATAGAGGCAGGGGGATGGGGGGGAATACTGGGGACCTTGGTAGTGGAGGATATGCACGGGTGGACGGTTGGGTGATCGATCATTGTATGACTGAAACTCAAACAGAAAAGCTTTGTAACTGTATCTCACGGTGATCAGAAAAATAATAATTTTAAAAAATAATAAAATTAGCATTCTGAATAAAAAAAAAACAGTGATGTGGAGTTCATGCCCAATTCAATAAGCTTAATCAATGGCTGAATAAACAGCAGTAGTCCTACATTAAAAAAATAAATAAATCATAGTAGAGTTTACATGGAGACTATCGAGGAACCCAGTTGAAGTTTTCCTAATATTTGTCAGGGAAAGCATGATCCCCAAATGCCAAAGGAAGGAGGGGGCCGGAGGGGGCAGGGTTGCCACTGCTGGGTGTGCATGGAACCTGGATTTGACTCCTGGCTCCACACAATTGCCACACACTGCAAGGATAGCCCTGGGGGGTCCCTGAGCACTGTGGCGTGGCATAGGTGGTCTCCACTCCCCACGGAGCCATAGCAGCATCACAGCCTCAGACAAACCTGCAAGCCCAGTTGGTCCAATATCTCTAGAAATGGCCCTGGAGTCCCTGAGTGCTGCTGGAGAAACTGGTGGTGGGGGAGGGGAAAGGTACTGAAAATGTTTCTTTTATTTCTTTTGTTTGTTTGTTTGTTTGGGGTTGGTGTTTTTTTTTTCCCCTTCACTTTTTGAGGTCACACCCGGTGATGCTCCAGAGTTACTCCTAGCTCTGCGCTTAGGAATCACTCCTGGCGGTGCTTGGGGGATCATATGGAATGGCCAAAATGGAGCCTGGATTGGCCACATGCAAGACAATTGTGCTACCCACTGTACTATCACTTCGGCCCTCCCTTTATTATATTTATTTATTTATTTGTTGCTTTTTGGGCCACACCCAGCGATGATCAGTGTTTACTCATGGCTCTGCACTCAGGAGTTACTCCTGGAGGTGCTCAGGGGACCATATGGGATGCTGGGGATCGAACCCAGGTAGACCACATACAAGGCAAACGCCCTACCCACTGTGCTATCTCTCCAGCCCCCCCCTTTATTTTTTAAAATTCTCACTGGGGGGCCAGAAAGACAGTACAGGGGTGAAAGCATATGTCTTGCATGCAGCTGAGGCCCAGTTCATCCTTGGCACCACATAGAGCCCCTGAGCCTTTCTGAATGCATCCCTGGAGTGACCAAGTACACCCATACTCCGGGTCATCCCCAGCTCCAAGGAGTCAGGGCTGCACCCCCTCTGCAGGCCCTGGCAAAGAAACACCAACCCGGTTTGATGAGAATTACAGAAAGGGGCCACCAGGACACCTAAGCCTCACTCGGGAGGCCCCGTCATAAAGAAAAGGGCTGGAGAGTACAGTGGGCAGAGCACCTTCCATGCCTGTGGCCGACCTCGTTCAATCCCAGGCACCACTTATGGTCCCAAGCTCCATGAGGAGCAACTCCTGAGCACTTCTGGATATGGCCCAAAGGTAAACAAAAAAGGGCAAATACAGAAACAAGAAGCCAGATTGAATATGAAAGCTTTTTTAATAGCAAGTTGCAAATGGGAACTAAATAAGCAGAATAAAAAGCAGAATTAAATGGTATCGTTCCTAATATACTGTTGGGCACAGGAGTTGGGTCATGCAAAAAAGCTGGGCTCAATCCCCAGCAGCACAAGGTTCCCTGAGCACTGCTGGATGTGACCACACACACACACACACACACACACACACACACACACACACACACACACACACCAAAACAGACATATTAAAGAAACACCCGAATTTACGATCAAAGAGAACGCAAATGGGAAGAAGCCCATGGTTTGCACACAGGAAGCCCCAATCAATCCCTGACACCCCATGGTCCTACAAGGACAGAGTTAGATGTGGCCCCAGACCAATTCAAATCAAATCTGAATTTATATGGTTCATAAGGAGTAACACCAGAAATTCTGGACCCAAGAAAAACCTTTAGCGGCAGCACTCAGAGGCCAAGCCACGGAATCCACCTAAACGGCCATCAAGATAAAGCCGCCACAGTCTCCGCTCAGTGGGACATCCCTGCACCGGGGAGCAGAGGCCAGCTGGCCCCGCAGGACAGCATGGAGGGCTCCTGAGGTGAGGCATGCTCAGAGAAAGAAAATGAGAACGTGAAGAACAGATCCTGGATGATTTTATGTGTGGAATATGAATTGCTAAGCAAATGCACTGGCAAGAAACATGAGGCTGGAGCTGGAGCTATAGTACAGCGGGTAGGGTGTTTGCCTTGCATGCAGCTGACCCAGGTTCGATCCCCAGCATCCCATATGGTCCCCTGAGCACTGCCAGGAATGATTCCTGAGAGCAGAGCCAGGAGTAACCCCTGAGCATCACTGAGTGTGACCAAAAAGCAAAAATAAGGAAGGAAGGAAGGAAAGAAGGAAGGAAGGAAGGAAGGAAGGAAGGAAGGGAAAGAAAGAAAGAAAGAAAGAAAGAAAGAAAGAAAGAAAGAAAGAAAGAAAGAAAGAAAACACGAGGCTGTTAGACTCGAGGAAGCCTCTGGTGGCTTTCAAAGAGAGCAGGGTGGTGATGGGGAGGGGGCGTCTTCTTGGCAATCTGGAGATTTGGGCGAAGAGAATGACAACAATTGCACGCATCAAGAGGTATGACACTAAGTCCAAATTTTCCATCAAGTTGTCTCCAAAAAGTCTCAGAAGAGATTAAAAAAAAATGTTCTCAGATCTCCATTGAACAGCCAACCCGCAGAAGGAATTCAGGAGAACCTACTTGAAATGTATGGATCCACTTGGGGGCTGTTTCCAGGCATGCATTCTGCCCATGTATAAAGAATGCCCAGTCAGGCCAGAGCGACAGTACAGCAGGGAAGGCATTTGCCTTGCACGCGGCTGACCTGGGTTCAATCCCCCAGAATCCTATATGGTCCCCCAAGCACTACTAGAAGTGATTCCTGAGTGCAGAGCCAGGAGTAACCCTCTACTGTGATCAAAAAGCCCTCCTTTCCAAAATCAAATCAAATCAAATCAAATCAAGAATGCTCAGCTAGCAAGACCAACCAGCTAGCCCAATGGCCAAGCCATGTGGATGACCTTCATAAATTCCAAGGATGCATTCTTAATCAAAATAAAAGCAGGTCCAAGTAAACAGTTATAGGCAGCCTGTGGGGGTCAATGAATCAGCGGTTCAGAAAGGCCAATTCTTCCCTTTCCAAAAGGAGAGTTATTTCAAACTCAATTAGACTCAACTAGCATTTATTTGTTCTTGAAGTCCCAGAGGCTTCTCTTTCTAGAAGAAAGAATTCCCAGAGAAGGCAGCTGCCCGGACAACACGTGCTGAGCTGCTTCTGAGTGACAGACTCGTGCTCTTGGCTGACAACCAGGAGGCACTTTCCTTCCTAAAGCTCCTTACTGTAGAGCCCACAGTGGCCTCATTCATCCATAATCCATTTTGGAATGACCCGATACCTAAGACTTGGGTGGGGCGGGGTGGACCAATTCATTCAAGAAAGAAGTT